ATTTTTATATTAAAGGATTTCCCAAAGCAGAATTCAAAAACTGTTATTTCATTTTAACTGATTATGTTGTTGTTCTTGCATCCAAGCAAATCTGACACAATGCAAGTCGTGTTGGGAGGTGTAATAAACATTTCTCACCAGATTCACTGTCAACAACTGAATGTACACTTAGGAAAAATGTAATAGTTATCTTGTTCCCATCAAAAGTTTAAGAAGAATGCCCTTTGGGTTTTCAAATGTATGCTGCTGATCTCATCTATATGGCTAGGCCTATGCTTCAACACTGGCAGACTGTGACTTTGATAAGATACATTTCAAATCTTAGAAGGAAAATTACATTTAGTTTGCAGCCTGCACTATACGGAGAATATTATTTGACACAAAAAGGAACTACATTGTACAACAGTCTTATTCCTTCTCTGCCTATAGTGACATCATGTAGAGACATTAGTCAAACTTTGATGCTGATCCTGGTAGTATTAAACTGCCACTATGAAACATCAAATGAAATATTTGCTGCAAACAAATAGCTGTCCTTGTTTAGCGGGGACAGGGGGGCGGTGCAACAACACACACACAGATTGTGTTGGCTCAACACCCACGTCTCTTATTTTCAAGAGATTTGTATATTCTTGATGTTAAACTACATACAAAATTCTCTGCTGTGCAGCGATGCTGGCTGCTGCAAACATAGTGTAGCTACTTGCAACATAAAAATAGCAACATATATTTTAAAAAAATAACATTGTAGGAAAAGCTATGCCAGTCTATCAGTTTGTTTAATCATTTATTTATTGGGATGATTATGGAGCCCTCCTAGATGACTGTGTACTAAAAAAGCCAGCATACAATATTTTAAAGGTACAAATGCAAAGATATCTAACTGGAAACAGTGTCAATCCAAAAAAGACTTACAGCCCACCAGAATGTAGGACTAAATCCAATTCTTCTTAACACCCTTATTCTTCTATAATCAACTCCTCATGAAAAGCCTAGGGAACGAGAGGGGGATTGCTAAAGGTTCCTTCTCTAAAAGTCGTCAAACTTAGGGTGTGTCCAACACCTCACACAGTGAAAAACATTTAAAACACTGGCCTCTAATTTTGTGCTCACAAAATGCCACATGCATACATTAAATTATACATACAAAAATCAGAGGTCAGGATGAAAATGTACTGTCATTAACTTCAGTAGGCGCAGGATTTCACCCTAAGTATCTTCACAATATTATCACACATCTGACAAATTATTTTAAAATGATTGCTAATACTCATTTCTTAATATACTTGACAGATAGCAGAGACTCCTGATACAAAACACTGAATTACAACCCGGAGTCATCGCTCATAACTAGTTTCTAATTCATGACTGTAGCTGGCCCAATAACTGGACCTGGGGTGGGGAATGATTTGTGAATAATAATCGGACAATGAACAGGAAACATTAATTGAATCAATTATTTGCTGAATACTATTTAGCCACCTGTAACATTGGCTAGATAATGAAAAAAGCATCAGTGTATTTAAATTCAAAACTAATATTAGTAATGAATAATCATTCAGGGCACTTCAATCCATGAAAGATCACCTCTCACTATATGGCCACTTAGGCCTGATTGACACACAAATAAATAATAATAATGATCCTTCTTACTGCTCTTGTCATCAGGACAACATAAAGGAGGTTAGTATCATTATTCCCATCTTACGGATGGGGAAACTGAGGCACCAAGCAGTGAAGAGACTTCCCTAGGTCAGCTGACAAAACTGCACTAACTAAAAGTGTTATTTTAAAACTGGTTTAGTTCAAACAAGTGCAACACTGTGTGTGGATGTTCCTCAGCTGATTAAAAACCTGGTTTATATCAGTTTAGTTACATTGCTTTAAAAGTGCCGATGTTATGTCCACACAGGGATTTGCATTGGCGTAGCTGAACCAGTGCAAGCTTGTGCATAGACAAGACCTTATTGTAGTTTCCTTAATATCTCCTTGTAATGGACCCTATCCAAGGGCTTTGGCAAAAAACACATTTTGTTATAAAGCAGATGCTGTGTGCACCACATTTGTTCAATTTAACTTTTCAGAGTGAAAGATTAGCTATTTGTTTTCCTCCCCTCAGTGAATTCTTGGGCACATACACAATGAGTTGGTCTTCTCTCATCATGATTACAGTTTAGTATGTGAAATTGAAAGGCTCTTTCTTTAAAGCTTTATAGGACTGAATCTTATTAATGATCTTATATGGATTGGATTGGCTGGATTGAGTGGCTGGATTGGATCGCTTTGGTTTTTAGATCCCTAGAACTTTTAAAAATATTGCTTGGAATCTTCAGCTTTCCAATTTGATGTGAAAAGTGCAATCTAACTCTCAAATCATTTTAACCCTCCAATTAACACATTCAGCTAGTAGTGGAAATGGGGCTGAACTGGAAAACATTAAGCATTAGTACTTAGTAGTAGTAAGGATTTTTGCATGCAGACAGCAGCTGAGTTAGTAACCTCCACAAATTCATTACAGAGTTAATTTGCACAACCATTTTGAACTTTTGCCACAGCGTTTGATATACAGGCGTGTATGGGATAAATCTTCAACTATGTTGGAGGAGAGCTCAGCACAGCTGAAGGGAAGGAAAAGGCAAACTGTTCTCCTACCCACCTTTCTAACAATCCTCTGGCTGCCCAGGGCCAAACTAGCCTTTGGCACAAGTCAGGGCACCTTAAGGGCTGCTCTATCATTGCTTGCAATGCTGCCCTTCTCTTCCCTCCCCAAAGCTAATGAGGATTACTGGGTACAGCATGCTGCAGTGCCATCTTTTTAACCTTTCCCACACTCTGGCCCTCCACCTAGTCCAGAGAGGCTGGTGTAGAGCCAACATAGCTAACTGCACAATACCAGCGATTCCCTTACATCATGGGAATCCCCAGCTGCCCACTGCAGTAGCTTTCTGGCTGCTTTTGCTACCTAAGCATCAGGAATGCAGCAACTGTCTGGCACGTATAAGATTCTACAGAGATGAGCCTCTTGGGATAGCTACAAATAAAACAAATTATTTTCATGATGCTGTTAATAAATTTTGTTTCAGCATATTAGAACATATGGTCAGAGGAAAAAATCAAAACCCAATTAAGATTTTGTGTTACCTGAAATTTTTACCTGATAACATTGTGCTAGGTTGGATTAAACCTCATTGAAACTGGGTGGTTGTGGGGAAGGGGTTTACAACCGTCCTTCATATGGGATAAATGTAAGAAACAATTAAGTTCCTTTATGGACTCAGGAGACCTGGATTCAATTCCCAGCCTTGCCACTGGCCTGCAGGATAACCTTGGGCAAGTCATGGCGCCTTTCTGTGCCTCAGTATCCCCTTTTGTAAAATGGCGATTATTTGAAAAGCGCTTTGAGATCTACTGATGAGCTCTCTATAAGAGCTAGGTACTGCTATCATTATTATGGAACTGGATCGCTGAAGCAATAGGAGTCTTCACCCAAAACACAAGGACACCCAAGGCTTGTCAGAAATAGAGCTATGTGGGTGGCAGGGGTTCTCTGGGGATTGTTTGATGGAGGTGTGTGTCTCTGTGAGAGAAGAAGCAGAAAGCTACTGCCACAGAAGCATTGATGATCTTGAGAAAAGGTTGAGCGAGAACTTTTGGGCTAAGTGCTGGCAGGAGCTGTGACCAAAGAAACGGTCCACTGTGGTTTGATTCCTTCTGTGTTCAGGGAATCAGGACTTTGTACAGCCTTTGTAAATAAATAGGATTGCGTCAACCTTCAATTTCTCCTCCTTAGGAGAACAAGTCTCAGGACCCTCAAAATTGGCTAGCTAGTTAGGTCAAAAAGGAGTAACAATATCCTACAATAGAAGCCTACTAAAGTGCAGGAATAATCAGAAAGTACCATTTCTGCGTAGCCTTTCTCACTTATATTCCCATTAACACGGCAGAGAAAGAGTTGGGAAAGAGAGTTGGATTCCATCCTGCCTTATGCACCAGCTACACAATTGCTAACTAAGTTCCAGTTGCAGAATGCAGTGTCTATCAGCACTTTAAAAGACATAGGGCCAGATCTTCAGCTGGTGAAAATTGTCATAGGCCCAATGACTTCAATGGAGCTCTGACCATTTACAACAGCTGCCCCATAAACTCGTCTTGTCATGAAGAAAATGTGAAGGAATACTTTAGAAGGGGCACTATTGACTTGAATTTTTTTACATTAATAGAAGTTGATGATAGATTGTATGTCCTGATTTTTGGTTTTAAGTTTTTATAAAGGTTTTTCTACTCTCTTGCTGATATTTATAAGCATCTTATAGGCAAACCTCTATGCATGAGTGACTTCAGTGTTTCAAGGATCAAAGCCACAGATTAAATTTCAAATATGCTTAGGCCTACCCCATCTTTCTTCTTTTCTGGACACTCACCTGCCTACTGCCTCTTCAGTTTCAACCTTTCTGCTGCTCTCACCTTCTGGCAAAGCAGGTATATAAGCTCCAGTCTGAGCAGTGCATGAGGGAGACACCATAATTCTGATTCCCAAGACAAGAAGTGCAACTGACCATCAACAGAATAATGAAGTTCACCATCTGCAAACTGCTGTTGAATGCACACATTAAAGTGAAACAAGAAAATATCCCCCCCCCAAATCTTTTCACTGTTAATGATATTTGACATTACTTGTAACTATACTAGGTACAAATTGTTCAGACAGAAATATGGTTGTCAATTTGATAGATTCTTCATTTAAAGGGACACTGTCTTTTTATTGCTACTTATTTCACTAAAACGTCCATATCTATAGAAAAGCTGACAGCATAAATGGGACATTGCAGTTTTTATCTGAACATACTTTACATGAGAAAGTACTTCAATGTGCTCAAAGAGCAAAAGTTAATTTGTTTCCTTTTCTATAACTTTTTAATAATTATGCCATTATAGTAGATCTAGAAAGTCATTGTATATTGCTTTGTTTTCTCCTAATATTAAAAAAAAATTCTTTGCAGATGATGTGGAAACCTGCATACGATTTTCTGTACACATGGGGCGCTCACTATGGAGACAGCTATAGAGACGTGTTACAAGACCTGCAGTTGGCTTTGGACAAAATGAAAAACCCTTTGACCAAACAGTGGCGAGAGTTAACTGGAGCTTTGATTCTAGTGAACTGCATGGAGATCTTAAGGGCAAATGCTTTCCCCAAGAAGGAGGAAGACTAGAATCCCAAATTCTTTTATGGACTATCTATTGGAAAACTATGGTGTTGATTTTTATACTCGTCAAATATTTTTATGACCCTGATTTTCCAAAAGAGAACAGATCCTTTCATTTTAGCTTTTTTTTTCTGCACTTATATGTGTTACATACAGCACAGACCATGTGGAACACAATTTATCTGAAGGACCCTCAGGGCCTGCAGAATAATATTTTGAGGACCATGCAGGGGTGAAATTGGAGTTGGAAGATGAATTAGGTCCTTGAAAAGATTTTAATTCCATGGACCAATTCCTAAATGAAAAATTCACAAGACTACAACTATAGCTTATAATAAAGCCAACTTTTTATTTTGAGGTCTATTAAGCCCCACATGTTCTGGGCTGCTCTGATAGTATTCACTCAGTATGCCCAAAATTTTCAAAAGTGACAATTTGGGCTCCAATCCTGCAAGTTACAACACAAGGATCAGCCTCTAAGCCCATGTGGAAGACCTATTGGAGTCAATGAGGTTCCATGCAAGCACAGAGGATGTTGTGAAGGCCAAGCCTACAACAGGGTTCAAAATGGAACTAGATAAATTCATGGAGGACAGGTCCATCAATGGCTATTAGCCAGAATGGGCAGGGATGGTGTCCCTAGCCTCTGTTTGACAGAAGCTGGGAATGGGAGACAGGATGGATCACTTGGTGATTACCTGTTCTGTTCATTCCCTCTGGGGCACCTAGCATTGGCCACTGTCAGAAGAGAAGATACTGGGCTAGCTGGACCTTTGGTCTGAGCCAGTATAGCCATTCTGATGTTACGTTTACACTGGTGTGCCTTTTCATAATCAGTTGCAGTATTGGGGGCCTCACTGCAAGTTCCTTGGGTTTTGGGTGTCCAGAAGAAGACACCTTTAGTCTGATTTTCAGGTGTGGTGAGCTCTTGTAACTCCGATGGAAGTTAATGGCAGTAGAGCTGGCTGGGAAACCAAATATCAGTTCCATGAAATTTTTTGTTTTTGGAATTTTTTCACCCCAAATCAGGATGCCTGGGTTCCATCAGGAGTTTCTTGAAATTGAACCTTTTCCACCAAACACTGCAATTTTTATGAATAGACAAATTCTGCCAAAAATATTTTTTCTAACCAACTCTAAACAGGAGCTCAGTACTTCTGTAAAGGCCATAGGTGTCTTAAATTGGGCACTCAGAGAGAGGGGCACCCAAATTGTGGCCACATCTGGAAATAGCTCACTATTTTTTCTACCACCAAGTCTGTATACATGATGCACAGTGGAATTTTACTAATCTTTCTTTTACATGCTCCCCAAAAGGAGTGGAATCGGATAAAAAAGGCTGATCCATACCAAGCAGTTATCAGACTAGTGGCCACATCATATGATCCTGTACATAAGCCACTGCCTCTTATATAGCTATTTTGAATGGAAAAGTCGGGGTTGGTGGGTAGAGACAGACTGTATATGCCATTATTGTGCATAATTCTCAACTGTGCCATTACTAAGGGAAAATGGGAGAGAGGGACAACTAGTATTTTGTCAAGAAAGGTATGTGCTGGTCCTATTGTTAACAGAAAGGGTTTACATTAGGTTCATTTATGATTTATTTATGCAGCAATTCATACTTGCCTGATTTCCACTGATTACATGCTCTGAAATAATCCAGAATAGATACTCTCAAATGAAGTCTTACCATTGGCCAGAACCAAGCTGCAGTAAACGTGGCACCGCCTTATGGATACCACTGAGTTGTGGAACAACCCCAGTCCAACCAAATAATTCCCAGTAAATGGGATGGTATTTAAAACAAACAAGAAAACAAACTTTTGTTAGCTAGAAGGTAGCGGTAAAAATGGAAGCAACCTGCAAATAACTCAAAGAGCAGCTCTGGTGAAGGAGCACCCAAAGGCTCATTTGGATAAACTGGTAAACTCACTGTTTGCCGGCAGTGGTCTGGTTGAAAAGCAAGCCTGAGAGCTCGCAGTTGGAGAGACAAAGCCCCAAGTTCTACTCTGAGAGCTGTGCATGAACATCTCAGGGCACAGCTGGTTCTTTAATTGCTTCATTTGCGATAACGTCCTTTCAGGAGGAGGAAGAACATGATGAATCTAGAACAAAATAGCACATTTACATTTTTTCTCCCTAGGCCTTTCTTTAACAAGTTCCATTGCACAGCCTCTAGGTGTGAAGAGCTTTGGATGGGAGGATAGGGCACAAACCCAGAAGACCTTTGCTAAATATTGAAGGCCTGATTCCCTTACTTACACCGATTTTGCACTCATGTAATGCAGTTGGCTTCAGCAGAGTTACTCCTGCTTTGCACTAGGGTGAGCAAAGATTTGGGTCCACTGAGTATTAATGCAAAAAGCATCTTCTGTGGTGATCAAGGGAATGAAAATAGAATTTGAATACATGGACTATGTAGTGTAGCCTTCTATGTCCCTGAGAGATGTTTACACCCACACTGTGCTGGCTCTGTGCAGTTGCACAAGGAATTGGGGATAGAAGGTACCACAGAGCTTCCCCATTGCCTTGCACATCTATGCAGGTGCCAGCTATTGTTCCCTGTTAGTGCCACAGGTGGCAATGAACCCCTTAAGCAGAGGGGAGGAAGGGACAGGGCCATGGTGGGAGGGATAGCTCTGTGGTTTGGGCATTGGCCTGTTAAACGCAGGGTTGTGAGTTCAATTCTTGAGGGGGTCACTTAGAGATCTGGGCCAAAATCAGTACTTGGTCCTGCTAGTGAAGGCAGGGGGCTGGACTTGATGACCTTTCAAGGTCCCTTTTAGTTCTGTGAGATAGATAGGCATGGCCCATGTCCTCTTTCCCTCTTGCACTGCTGAGGTGTGTGAAAATGCACACACTACCTTCTTAAAGAGTAGTAGAGGGGCTGCTACACTGTGGACTTCCGGGAAGGATTCTGGTTACATCTCCCAGAATGCCTCCTGGGGTTCCTACTTCAGCATGGCTCACCTGTACTGCCAATCCTGCTACAGGGCAGATTTCATCATGGTGCAGTGGTTGACTGAGCCATGCTCAATGTCTTTGCTACTGACTGGGGTGAATAAGTACTTCGCTACTACTTACACTCCCTAAAAGCAGACTGACTTGACTCAACTACACCATTCCTTGAACTTCACAGTGCCTTCTTACACCTAGAGATGAATATGCCACCTGGCCATAACCCCTTCTTTGATGTCAAACTCTGTTCAACTTCTCTGCTATTCCCCTGGCAGCAACCATCACATAAGTCCTCTTACATTTACTTCTGCTGCACTGCACATATCTCCAATTTCAATGCCATTTTTTGGCATTTCTTCTTAGCACTAATGCCAATGCTATTGCTTTTTCCTCAGCAATAATAATAATGAAAAAGGAAAACATAAGTGTTGCTTCCCAGCTAGAAGAGATAAAAATGCAGCCAGGAGCTACCAGTTACCAAATGGCCACTTCAGGGTTCCAACTTCTTGGTTCTGTCAAATTTAAAGGACCAACCCCGAAAAGAGGCATGCTGGGAAAAAAGATACTGTGATAGGGCAACCCTACACTACAGAGAAATCACAGTGACCAGGAAATCACTAAGGAGCATGGCTTGTTTTGATGTTATTCCTACTATTGCTATGCCATCTCCTCCGATTTTAGCCCTGCACCAGCAATGAAGTGTGACACTCTCAAACTCGAGTTGAATTTGGCCCAAATTATTTAGCAAAATATTGACTTATTGAGTCAGTCAGCTCCTCAGTTTGTGATATTATGTGATTGGTCCTGGAAGTTTGTTTATATCCTGTCCAATTAGGTTGTGCTCTGGGGCCTGCAGCTGTGGTCTTTATTTGCTAATTCCACTTTCATTTTTGCTTTGTACTTCTCCTCATATGAATGAAATGTGCACTTGTGCAATACTTCTGTTTACTTTAGCAGCCTACGCTGAATGTAAAATAATATGTAATGAACTCCACATTTTATTGCTCAAATATTTTAAACCACAAAATGCCAGTTCTAGGTTACTGCTGAGAGTGGAAACAGCTGCTTTCAGCAGCAGCATGCAGTTAGGAGCACATAGCTTTGGTCTTGATTTCTCTTGAGGGGAGTGGAGGGGAGAGGAGAGGAGAAGTGCTCTCCCATGAGCCAGCACACATACCTTCTTAGGTCTCTGTGGGGAGGGATGAAAACAACAACCTCTCCCTGCTCCTGGGCGAGGAGATGAAATCCCCTCCCTAGTTACCGTCCTTCAAATACCCCAGCTTTCCCCATTTTTTTGTTGTCATTACTGTCTTTGAGGGATGGGAAGTCTGGAGATGTTAGCCAACTCCTTTCAGCTCTATAGTCTTTGGTAGAAAAGAAACTTTAACCTAGCCTCCCTCATCACTGGGCAAAAGAGTTCAATATTCCACACCCTTTTTCAAGGAGAGGGTCTTATTGAGATGGGGGCCTGCCCCTGCCCTATCTGGTGGTGAGAATGGGGATCAGTCCTACTGAAGTGGCCCTTCATAGGGCAGACATGTCCCACAATGCAATGAACAAAGGGAGACTCTTCCCAGATGACTCACACAGGAGCAGGTTTCCTCCTGAACCTGGGAGTCAATTCCCTAAGTCCAGTGCTGAGGTATTTCTGCCCCACAGTATTTAACAGGCCTATGCAGCAGGACAGGAAGAAGTGTTTCACAATCCAACAGCTACAAGGTAAGGGGTCAGAAGACAAGTTATTCACCCTCAGAAGGTGTTCTCCTTGAGTTGAGTGGGGAGGCCTCCTTGATGATTTCTCTGAAAGCAGAAGATTAGGGAGGAGAAATCAGATTGCCCCCTGAAGAGAACATAAGTGAGGGGACTAGGCCACAAACCACTCCACAGAAGACATCACAGATAATAGAATAGTAGCAAGGTGTGTGATGGGGGTGGGTATTAAGTGCCCAGCCATCTTCATCCCTTCTCTCTGGGGACAAGAGAAAAGTACAAGGACCTCCACCCTCCTTTCTGATGAGGACAGGCAAGTGAGTGGGATTTGGCAT